AAATGACCGTAAAATTGGAATGAAAATTTCAATGCGAGGGCAGTTTAGGTGCCACGCTCCCCTGCTGGAAAGCTTCCAAATAGTGCATTTGTAAAGTCAGCTCGTGGGCAATTTCTGACAAAACTTGGCGGATGGTTACATCTTTTGTGATTGGCACGCCCCACTATACTGATACCCATGGAAGCTGGCTATTCATAGTGAACGATGAAGACGCGACGAGAAATCTTTTTTTTTCTTTTAATACTAATCAACCGGAGATATCAAATATATAAGCATGTAGCCCGAGATGAGCTCTACCAAAGTGTATATATATAAATTTTTTTATAGGTCTCGTTGATGAGCAGTGTGATCCATATTGATGCAAGCATCTACTAGACTTATATTAAAATCTGAATCATAGCCCTGTAACGGTAAACTGACTCTAGTTCCCAGAAAACTTGATGAAAACACAACTTCCTATATACCATTCGACGCACCTGAGCTTGCTCTACAAAACTACGTACTTGGTTTCTCGACTGGAGTATGGTCATGAAATCCGACAGGGTCCTTTATTGCGTCAAAGTATGCTGTTTTTGAAGTTGGGACATTTTCCGTCGGCAACTAACCGTTGAAGTTTACTTGTGCGCTGGACAGATTTAGCACTGTATAACAAACAAGTAAGAGCAAGTACAGGCTATAATAATAAACCATGTACAGGCTAATAAATAAGTTAGAATAACCGTTCCAGTATGGAGACATCGATTAATCGGAAAAACATAGTTTTCTTCACATTAATGAGGTCTGTGATTTTCATTAGAGGATCGCAATTCATGAATAAAGTTAATCTGAACTATCAGCCGTTTTTGAGCTCGAATAAGTTTATTTATCGATACAACAAAGCTAAGCGAAATAGGAAGAAAAGCGATCGATACCGATAAAAAATGGATAAACTGTTTGATCTTATTTATTGTAGTCTGTACAAAGTTAGACAGAGATCTCTTCAGGGGTGTAACCGGTATCAGAAACGCGATACCGGCACCGGTCACAGGTATACAAACTTCGTACCGGTTGTCTTGACCATGTTTGGCCTAAATAAAAATACTTTTTCTTTAAGCGAACTTTATCTTAATAGCCTAGAACTAAACATACAACTCGAGAAGCTACTGTCAAGAGTATCGAATGCTTCAATAACGTCAAAATCTATATCACTGTCATCTTCTTGTTTATTATTTGACACTGATGATTGATAAACATAGTCTTGATCATTGTTTATAGCCAACTGTAGATTGTTATCCGGCGATACTGTTGAAGAATTGGCATGAGTTGTGAATGTGTGTGTTTTATTTAATTGGTGTTGGACATCATGTGTTGGACTACCATACTTTTGTTCTTCACACATATCAACATCTTTTATTATAAACTCATCAATGTTAGATACCCCTCACCCTCACCCACCCAAAAAATCACACACAGCATCGACTATATGAAGATGGTCTGGTCGAGTTTATTTTCTTAGATAGCTTTTTATAAAATTCTTCAGTCTTTTGATACATTGGACAAACGCATCACGTTTTACTCGGACTTTTCTTCGAGAACATAATGCATTTGTCGCAGTACATCGCAATGCTCACGCGTCTGGTATGAATGATAAAATTTCCTAAATATTATAAAAGCTGTGAAATACCCTAATACATGTTTTTCTAGAAACCCTCTATTTTCAACTGTGAGCAATAAGATCATAGCGAAACTTTAGCCCATCGTTCCAAAATTTTCATCGTAGCTACCTACGACGATATTTCGAAATGCGAATTTGTGGTTTTTGATGCTGATATTTTTCTCCGCAGATTAAATTTCAGTTTTTTATTTTACAGTTTCATGATTCGAAAGAGATAAGTCAGAAATCTGAACAATGACATTATGCTTTGAGATAATGTCTTAGGCAGCTAAGGTAACAAAACTTCTGGATCGAATAGTCGAAGTTTCGATGGGGTACTAACGTAACTTGATCGAACGAAACAGCGAAAACCATATTGTGACAATACCGTAAAACCAGTTTGAAGAACGTATCAGTCATATGCTCGCAACAGGCAGCTTAGAGATGTGCAACCCTACTCGAAGATTGGATACGAATTCCGTTTTTATAAATTTACGCGATACCCGGAAGTTCTTAGTGGAAAACCACAAAATTTTAGTAATAAAGTACAATTTTAGCTAAACTATAGGGTGTCCGTAAAGTCCTTAGAGTTAGAAAATGTTCAATGTTTTCGCCATTCTTTACCGGAATGAGCTGATTTTTTTTCTGAGTATAGTAAGCGGACAGAAGTGTCTATTCATCACAAAACAGACCATTTATGAACATAAAACAAACAATTTTTTTAAGGCTATAAGTAAGAAGAAATTCTTGAATGGAAGTAAGTGGCTGTTTAAACACCGTGTCTTTCAAATATCCCCAGAGGAAAAAGCCACATGAAGATCTCCATGTGACTCAATACGGAGCTCTGATATAAACACTACTATATACGGATAGCTTAACAGAAAAGAAAATAATTTCTATTTTATATTATAGAAAGAGAATCAAAAACTATAACGTTAGTTATGCATCTCATCTCTGCAGTTAACCAACCGGTCAAACTAGTTCCAGACTGCTCAGTGCCTTCGTGATTGAGAAGGATATAAAGAAGATTATTGCTTATTCTGCTGGTGTAAACAAACTATTTTGACATACTTCAGCTGACTTTTGTAATAGTCTAATAATTACGGGAATTTTGTAAAAATGCTTCGTTACGATGAACCTCCGGAAGAATTTTCGTATAAAACATGAATACCTTAGTATTGGACTGCTTCGTATGAAACTGTCAAAAGCATAAAGAATAAGCTTACCAGGAAAAACTCGGATCAAGGCCGTTGGTGTTGATTATATATAATCTAGTCTGAAAAGCCTTTTTTCACTATTCATTCTCTACAGAAAAGAAATCCAGCTGTTTTCAACATTACGTACTAGGAAACGTTACTACATTGTGATTCTATTTCTCTTTACACTGATGAAGTCTGACCTTGATTTTGAGACAAAACGGCTGTTTCTGAAAAGAAAATTCATTTAGTTTTAGGAATCGAGCATTGAGCAGAGTTTTAAAATCGTAACTTAAAAACTGCAAAGACACTTGAATAAACTTTTAAATCAATTTTACTACGAATAGAAAGAAAGCAGAAAAGTACAACCCTTTTGTAGAGTCGAACTTGTCAGAGGGTCATACTTTTCTGCTTTCTCGTATTTTCTCCTTTTTTCATTTTTGTGAGTTAAATCTACAACATTTAATTTTCTAAATTCGTTAGTTTAGTTCGTAGTTTAGCTGTCATAGTTGACGCAAAACGTCAGAAAAAGAAAAGGCTCAAACTTTTATCACACACTTTAAGCCCCCGTCAGAAACATAAATTTTTTTACAAAAAGTTGATATTGAGCTAGCGTGTCATCAGAGAGCCCACAGTATCTCCTATCAGGATCCAATGTTCCCAAGCAAATGTCACCTATGAGAAAAATCTAGATACGTTTCGTCTGTAATCGGGCGATACACGACTAGTTGCCATCTAGATTACTAGTTGGAAAAGGGACTTTTAACTAGATGCGTCTGCAGGCGCATCTAGTAATAGTTGAATCGATCGATTATCGGGCGATAAATCAACAGGTATAATTAGAAGAAATCTAGTAATCGCTCAATTACTAGATTTCCACTGTCGTTACACAGTAGTTGCAATCGAGTAAAAATCTAGTAGTCTAGATGAATCGGGCGATACTAGATTTTTTTTTGATGCTTGGGTTAGCTGGTCCTCATCGAAGGGGTATGGAGGAAAAAAAACGTTTTCTGAAAATCTTGAAAAGCTTTTCGAAAAGGTTTTACTTTCCGTTCAAAAAGCAAATCGAAAATTACTTTCAGTATAAAGGAATATAGAGTAAACATTTCTGGTCAAAATGCAATATTTCCCAGCTCTGAATGATGTTCTAACCAAGAGTTATGCGAGTTTTGCTGGAAGCCCTAAAACACGCATCAGATACTGGCGCCACCATATCTTGAAAGCGACTTTTATCTTAACACCATTTTGTGCTAAGACATATGCTAATGTATTTCAGTTTGAACCTTGTTATTTCCTGCATTTTCTTGTATGAAAGTTATTCCGGGTCTCTCTATATTTTACACTATTGTACTTCAGTCACTGTCGTGCCACAGGTTAAATCCACTGTATTCGTTAAGTATTTTGTCAATAAGTCTATTAAACTTAAGATTTGGAATAACGTACTGTAGCTTATTATTTTGTAGCCCTTTCAATTCTGCATTTTTCTAAATACAAACTATTCTTAATTCTGAGTGTCGTACTGAGATTTTCCTAAAAAAGAGGAATTAAAGAGAAATCTCAAAATCTTGAAAGAAGGATGTAAATCCTAAGCTAGAAACATTAACTTAACATAACAGATAAGTGCAACAGAATTTTATTTCATTTTGACACAAAGGGAGTATTCTGGTATCTTTTAAAAAGTTTGATTTTAGAAAAATTGAGCGGAAGGAAAACTGTACAAGATGTATTCCTAACATCTTGTTTCTCGATTTTAAAGCTAGCCTAAAACTTTTATTCAGTCAAAAGAGTACAAACGGAATAACCCATTATAGTACACTCATCAACAACAAAGTGTGCTACTAAAAACAAATGCTACTATGCTACTCGGAAAGAACTAAACAGGAACTCTTCAAGTCTACAGATGATGACACTAGAAAGTCAGCACAATACTCTAGACTATGACTATCGGTCATCGTAGACACTCACAGTAGGCAACGACTGGGCTCTGTATGATTTTTTACGATTGTTCACGATAACCGGCCAAAAGTTCAGAAACATTTGGATTTTCTCTGCATGAGTTAACTCTTAAATTCGTATCCTTGATTTCTACATGATAAACAGCAACAGTCAACATTTCCTTGGTAACAATCTTGAGTTATGTTCCACGATACTCATACAAACATAAAAAAGTCTCATTTTTGAGCAATTATGTATGTTTGAATGTACGTCTTTAGGTCGGCAAATGTCGGTCTTGATAGTGCATCTTTTGTTAAACATCGTAATATCAGTTCATCATAAATATATCTCGTACCAAATATTGGCCGAGGTAACAATTGATTTTTACCGCTACTATGAGTAGATGAAGATGTAACACACTTACGGACAAATTGATTATTAACTGTTTTGCCATACGGCACATCACCAAGACTATAGATTTCCCATAGCAAAACGCCCTAAGGAAATAACAAAGACCAGAATGAAATTAGAGAATGATAAATCAAAGAAATAGACGTACGTAGCTCCACACATCGGATTTGGAACTAAACAAACGTTTTGTCAAAGCTTCGGGTGATGCCCAGCGAACAGCACAGAGTGATTGCGGTTTACTTGAATAAGAACCACATTCAGTGAACCTAAAATAGACGAGTACATTATGTGTTGCCGGTGAACAATCTTTTCGGTCTAAATCTGAAGAGCTTGAAAAATATTTTTCTTTCTTTCTTTTTTTATTAGACGTGTGTCATAATGTTGCATACCTGGCTAAACCAAAATCGCCAACTTTCACTTGTTCATCAGCACCCACCAAACAATTTCTAGCTGCCAAATCGCGATGAACAATCATTTTCTGTTCTAAATATGCCATTGCATCGTAAACTTGCTTAGCAAATGAATTTAATCGTTCATTAACTGTTTTACGTTCTAATTTCAAAAAAACATCTTTATTACGTTGAAAGTAATTATTTAACGCGCCATTTCGCATATAATCCATTACAATTGCCAACGTATTATTCAGAAATGTAACACCAATAATCTTCAACAAATTTGGATGATCTAAAGTAGTCATTATATCTGCTTCTTTCAATAGTTCTGGCGTCACTCTAGTACCGCCTCTTGATGTTGAACAGTCTTTCAGGGTTTTCACAGCTACATCGAGTTTCTTATCTAGTCGAGCACGATAAACAATGCCAAAGTGTCCTCCACCAATTTCAGACTGTAGTTCTAAACGATTTTTTCTTATATGAACTAATGCTGTCGGTGTTGTTTCGCATGTATACACTTTGTTTGATCGTTGATGAAGATTTGCAGATGACTGATTGTGTGCATGATGTTGTCCTGGTATTATGGGATGATTCTGAAAGAGTTTTTTCGGTAATTCCGTTAGTTCAATTTTTTGTAATGAATGGCTACGTTTAGCACATAATGTTTTGAGTTTTGATTGCATTACTGGCGTACGAACGCTGCGTGTAAGATCGTCAACTGAACGACTCAGTTTTTGTTCCAAAAACCTGTTTACGTGCGGCTGGACGTGGTACTGCATTTCGGTTTGATTAGCTAGAAAAAAAACGTTTTCTTGTCTTGCATGTTTATTACCAAAAAGTAAACGTCTTCGTAAATCTCCTGACGGCTTTGAGAAGAATTTGTCAGGATATCCTCCGTGTTCTGTATGGTGATGGGATTTAACAGCATGGTGATCGACAGCAGGTTGTTGCTGCTGTTGGTGTGTTCGATGATAGTGATGTTGCTGAGCTACTGCTAAGGATGGTGTACCGATGATGTTTGTAGAAGAACCAGCAATAGATTTTAATACTTTTTGATGTGGCTGATGATTATTATGTTTACGCCCATTAGATGATGATGTGATACCCATTGGTTTTTATAATTACAGAAATGATGAAAACACGTGACTACTTTTAATAAAGAAGCGAAAGAGAAAATAAAGTGTTTACATTCTTTTCCAAAGGCAATATGAAATATTCAGTTCCTCGCTAGCTGCTTTCTTACTTTTTAAGGTAGCCATCTGTTCTGATCAGTCGCGCATGACGTAACTTCTAGAGTAGTAGCAAAAACGAACTTTGTATGTGAGTCAAGGAAAACAAAAACAAACGCGTTACGAGTGGTTATGATAAGTAATGGAGTAAAGTTACCTTTACACAGACGAAGCTAATTAATTATTTTTGTAACTGTTTCACTATTAAATAGAGAGTGTAAGATATGGTAACGAGAGAGCGATGTAATTCACGACAGTATGATACGCGGATCTAAACTTCAATAAAAGCTGGTAAAGTTGCTTCAACTTATTATTATATTTATAGGATGAAGACAGCCACTTGATAGAAAAGACACTTATTATTGGTATTATCACGTCAATGTAAAGCTACACACGCTTACCAAGTTTTAACAGCCTGTATAAAAAGTATTTTAGTGAAAAGTTTCTTCAAAACTAAAATTTGCGTTTTTTAACTCTACAACTATAAAATAAGAACCTGAACGAATAAGAATAACTCTATGATGTAGGTCCGGTAGTGTAAAGGTTAATATGCATGTCTTCCAAACATACGGTAGTGAATTCAAATCTCACCTGGACCAGTATTTCCTTTTCATTTTGTATCTTATTGTAAGACACTTTGACACGACTTATAGTAAGACACACAGGTCGGATCAGAGAAAGATGCTTTAACGTGTCTTACTGGAAGACACATTGAAGTGTCTACCCCCATAAGACACATATAGTATCTCCCAGTAAGACACATTAAAGCATCTTTTTCTGATCCGACTTGTGTGTCTTACTATAAGTCGCACTTTTTTTGGGGTATCGAGAGTTAACCTCAATGCAATACGTGTACGATTCGCCCAGAAAGATGGTTGTCGATAACCAGTACCGATATGATAGATCGACATATCTTAATAACAAATAATACAAAAGATTTGGGAGTCGATTAGTTTGAGTTAGTAACTCAGTGTAATTAACGAGGGAAAGACTCTAAGTTCCAAATCGTTTTTTCAATGAAATTAGGTAGCAGAGCTTCGCATTGACCGGACTGAGTCCATAGTCCAGTTCAGTGCATGTGGATTGGACTGGATTGAAATTTTTTGGATTTCATGGACTCGGACTGGACTCGGACTGTCAAGACCATGGACTGGTCTGGACTGGGAAAAATTTTGGATGGACTTGAATCATTTTTTTCCAAGCTTTGGAGGTATCACCTCTGGAATGTTCACATTTGACATATTAATGCTATTTTTTCGAAGATGTTGTTAGTTGCCTTTTGCAGCGAATTATTATCCATAAGCAAATATAATGCAGAAAACTCTTTTCAGAATATCGTTTGATACAATTAAGAGATGCGGTTTTCGCTACTTCACAGAAGACACTAGGGGAAAATCTACTGGTGAAAATAACAGGTCCTGTCTGCAGTTGGTGTACCTGGGTGCCCACAGCAATCTATAGTTTCAAAATATGCAGGTGGTCACAGAAGATCTAGAAGGCCAAATGAGTACCATATTGGAATTCAGCGCCCTTGACTACCTACAGTCCACTTAATTTGATCGCAAAGCGATTTGCAATTAAAGGTAGTTCCTCCATCAGCTGGAGAAACTTGAATACAGCAGGGAGGGAAGATATCAAGCGATGTCCGAAAATCTTTCTGAGTATTCTTTCACTGTAAAATTTTATCAAGTCGTCAAACTTATGGAAAAGACAATGACAGTTTACTTTCAGTCATTGTCCTTTTTAAATTAAATGTATTTATTTTCAAATATATTTTTTTATTGTCTTGCTCATTTGGGAAAAAGAAGCAATTCGTTGGTCTATTTACACAATTTGTAGGCGATTTGCTTGATGAAAAAAGTTCTGATCGTTTGTAAAAGAAAAATCGGATAAAAGCCAATTGACAGAATTTTCGAAGTTCTTCCAGCGTGGAATATACTCGGTGGTATTTGAGCGGTATTGAAGACATGGGTTGTTGTACAAAACGTATAATCTGGACCCTGTGAGTTTTCAGGGACCACGATTCGAACGCGATCGTAGCATTCGATATGTATGGATTTATACGATTATTCTAGATCATATCGGTTCGTGTACGATCATATAGTACAATTGTATCGGATACGATCCGCTCGTACGATTCTTCGCCCTGGTTACCCAAAATAAAATTAAAATAAAAGCTGTTGATTGATTTTGAAACTCGTCGTAAAGAAATGGCAGAGAAAGATCGGTAAGTTTTATTAAAATAGATAAAAACTAAGATTACATCATATGCAATAGAACTATTTACATGCAAAGATGTCGCGTCGGTCTGTTCTTTAGGTGGGAACAATGAATTGTCAAACCGTTGTAGAAGTAGTGCGAAAGTCTTTTGATACCTTTTCGCTGGAAAAAAACAAAAAGTTTTAAAATCATTAGATTGAAGTGGATCCAAGACCGTTCGCTGATCGTGCTCTCCTTGCTTTGTTTGTCGTTGAGATGTATTCAGATATCTGTATACTGATGCTCGAGCGTGGATCCCGTTTTCGGATGTGGGTGTTGTTATTCATTTCGTGCTTGTTTTACGGTTGAAAGTGATGCTCGTTTTGTCGAGGTGCAGTACGATGTGTAAGTATCTCTAAATAGAGATATTAACTCGTGTCGAAAATTGATCGCACTAAAGCAATAGAGAAAAAAGTTGATTGCATGCGACGTAAATTGTATCGAATTCAAAATAATCTGAATGAGATAACGGTATAGTGGAGGTTGCGTTAACCACATGTCACGGCGGTAAAAAACGAAATAGACAGAGGATGGAAGTGTTAAAAGTACGAAAGCAAATGTCACTAACATGAGCATCGTTGTCAGGTGTCTTCGGCGTACAAATGATTGCTGCCCAGTAGTTTTCTGTTGCACTTTTACTGACGATCGGATCGTAACATAGATAATATATGTGTTACACAGTAGCATGATACAAAATGGACAAATATTGTAAACGAGTGAATGTACACGCTCATATTGCGGAAAAATGTATTTATCATTTGATTTTGTTGTATAGCAGTTAATCGTACCGTTTACTGATGAGCGATAACCATTCAAAAACAGAAGATGACAGTTGAGTAGAAGACAAATAGTTGTCAGTATACAAATATTATATTTTGTACGCGATAGTTTACCGCATGTTTGTTTCCATGCCAAAGAATATAAACTCAAACACCGATCGAGACTAACAGCTGTCAAACACCAGGACGATAACTGAAGAGCAGTAAATGACATATACGATATGAGACGACAATGACCGAGTGACAATTCCTCAAGGTTCTTGTGATCAGAACTCAATGTAAATTTGTAGAAATTGTTTAAGTTCCAGCCATACAGCGATACAGTATCAGCCAGACTGACAACAGTTAAATATCTCATTGTTACATAACGGCGTAAATTACGCCGAGTCAAAACAATAATTGTCAGAGTATTGCCTACAGTTCCTATAATAACGAGACATAAAGCATAAATACTTAACAATTTGATAACGAGACGATATCGCTGCTGCAAACATAACGATAGAGTAACATTGTACGGTTCGAAATGATTATTATATGCAGGATATTCCATG